CGAAATACATGTCGTCGTCCACCTCTTCGGGCACCGGTAGGTACGGATGCCATCCGGAAAAGTGGCGCTTAAAGTACGCGGTCTTGCATTTGACAATACAATCGCTCTGCGATTTATAGCCAATGTTCGTGTAGTTCATGCAATTAGTCTCATAAGGATAGGGGAGTAGTTGTGTCGTTGTCTTTGAATAAGTCAGTGAATAGCCTGTCATTTAATAAACAAGTTGTTTATTAAAAAAATAACCATATTGTGTTTTTAAAAATAAAATAACTGCGTATGCATAAGTGGTCCACTTCTAAAAATGTATAATTTGAGATAGATACTAAAACTATGTATAGCTCAATATTTACAGTTTATAATAATACTAATAACAATCATGAATTAAATATTGGTGGGATTTACATTTGGTAAAAATTGTTTAATTAATACAAAAATATAACAATTAATTAAGACATACCAGAATATCTTCTATTATAAATCTGGAGATCATTCAATTGTCCGCCAAAATAGCCCTGAAATGGGTGTCTCCGCGAGTGTATGAACACATATAAGCCATTCATGAATCGGTTGTTTAACAGCATTCGTATGAATAGAAATCCATTATCGCTGACACCGATGTCGTGGTCTATGCGGTAATTGTCATCACTTTCGCCGTCCAATTGAGACAATATTGTGAAACACTTGTAATTAATGTTCAAATACTGGCGAATCCGCGATATATTCCCGCAGTCTATGTATTCGCTGGCGAACCGCTCGTCCAGACCTTATGACACGGGAGAGTACAGACAAACATTGAATTAAACATTAAAATATACAGTAGTTTATATAACATACATATCATAGGCAATAAATTAAATTTTTAACATGCAAAAATTAGAAGTGGAAGTGTGTAACCAATAATGATTTATTCAATTGTAAATTAAATTATTGAATTATTTTCTACAATAAAGTTTACAGTTTATATTTTTGTAATACATGTTTTATGATGATATAAGTTGTATAATGTTTTAGATGTGTTAACTAATATGTGTTTAAGTTTAGATATAAGTTAAGCAAATCGTTTAAAATATTTAATTAATTACAAAAATAACTATATTTTGTTTTATAAAATTAGTTAATTTTAATGTACTATTTGTTGTTTGTCCCAAATGTAAATTTATGTAATTTAAGATAAACACTAAAATATTTTTCTATCATAAGGTTTACAGTTTATAATGCAATTAAATAAATTATATAACCATTTGTTTTAAACCAAGCCACGACTTGAAGATTGTTACTAAATAAAACAAATTATATTTGAAAATAAATAATAAGAACATCTTATACCATAATAATTCATTTAATTTTTAATGATATTATTAAAATCTTTGTAATCATAATGGTTACAGTTCTGTTTAATGCATATTTTATTAATAACAATATAAGCTATGTCATATTTTTGATTTCAAACTAAATTGACTGTAAAATCAGACGTAAGTTAAACAAACTATTCAAATAATTGTAAATATTTATATAGTCATATTATTTTATAAAATAAAATTAATTTACAAACTCCGGGAAAAGGTCCAAATATTAGTTTACATAATTTTAAATAAATATTAAAATTATTTCTACCATAAGATTTACAGTTTATAATACAAATGATTAAATTACATACCGATTGGCTTTAAAACTTGACACGAGTTAAACAATTGTTGAGAACTTATCGTAGCATTCATTAGCTGTTCCTTAAGCGACAAACTCTGTAATTGTCTTATTTGTGTCCATTTGTCTCTTCGGGCTTCAGATTCATTGCCAAACCTTTCGGACAGATAATCACTTCTTATGGTTTGCGTAACATTTGTACAGATAGTTATGGCCGGCATCTCAACCACCGACTCCTTAATTAAATTCACATTTATATTAGTTTTATACTTAAAATACAGATAACTTATGTCCAACACTTGATATACACAACCAATTAATAGTAAAAGTAATAAAACTATTTTATATAACGATAATTGATACCGAATTTCTTTCATATTGTTATACATAGAAATACAAAACACAAAAATAAAAACTAATTTATAAATTAATACAAATTAAACCGCAAAACAAAGAGACAATTCTTGTAATCTATGATAAATCAGTGAATGATTGTGACATTTAATGAGTGAAAAACAGAGATTTTGTTGTTTAGAGTCAAAGAGACGTAAAGAATATTCTGTAGTTTCGGCTCATTATAGAAAACCATTCATAAAATAGTGTTAAAATCCTATAAGAATTTTGTCAAATCAACACTTTTCCTCTAAAAACACAACAAAAAATCTATAAATAACTAAATTAGTCACAAATTTCAATACTATTTCACAGACTATTGATTATGTATTGAATCGTTTGCATAGTATATCGAGGAGGAGGTGTTGTTTCAGTGGAAATGAGCAAATAAATAGTTAATTAATGCGCTATTTTTGGGGACAATTTTTTTTGTTTCTATTTCCATATAATAAATGCCTAAACACTGAGACTTGAAATTCAAATTAATGTTTGTGTCAAAACTTTGCAAAAGATCTGTTTATCTTAAGTATAAAAAACTTCATTAGTTTTTTGAAGCGTTGATTACACTTGGCTAAAAGCCATTGATTTTTATAAGTTTTACTTTTGTTTTGTAAACTATTTTTATTGAAAATAAATGTATTTTAAATGCGCTGTAATTCATCTAAAACTATCAATGTCATAAATGATTAATGTCATTTTAATTTGTTTTATTACTATGGTTTTGTTTATTTTTAATTGGGTAATTATATAATGGTTTTTTATTTATTTTTATTAATTAAAATAATAAATGTGATTTACAAAATATTAAAAAGTAATTAAAAAGAAGATTTTAGATCTAAATTTATTATATCTGAATAATTTTAAGAATGCATCAATAATTTGTTTTTCTAATTTTTTAAATTGAACAATTGAGTAATGATTTTAAAATAGATAGTTTATAAATGTAATATATTTACTAAATTTAATTAATAACATTTAATTGTAAAGAACACAACTAATCCGGTATTTATGTGCTTTTGTTACAAAATAGCTTAATTTACATCTAATCCATAAAAACTGTAATTGCATTATAGAAGTACTCAATTAAATAACCAATTAAACGATCTAGATTTATATGGATCCAAATTTCACTTTTAATATTAGTCTTTTTTAAATACAAATGTAAATTATAATAAACATCAATTAATTATATATAATATAATTTTAAATAATTTTATAACATTCCATAAACTAATCTTTTGTCATATTTGAATATTTATAAAAATTATATCAAATCAAATATGCACAATTACCTATACCTGATACACTAGATATTCATTTAATCAAGTTGTTTTTGTTTGATTATGACAAATTTATACGTCAAGAATAAATAATAAAATTTAAGTATAAGATATTATAAAAAGACATACAACTAATGTACCAATTAATAATTAAATTATGGTAAATATAGATTGAGATATAATAGAAAGTGATTTTTTGTACTCATTTCATAAACCAAAGTCTAACAGATATTATCCGGCATTAGATAATTGCAATACTTAACCGGCGATTAAGGTATGGAAAAACAACTTATTATTAAACCTATTGTTAAGCTTATCTAAATTGACTTTAGTATAAAAACAACAAACATTTCACACAAAAATAATATTCACAAACTCATCAAAAACAATGTCTAAATCAATCATATGCTTAGCGTTCATAGCGGTGGCCATAGTCGGTGTGTTGGCCAGGGATGACGGTCTGGTGCGGACACCACCGATGGGTTGGCTGTCGTGGGCTCGTTATAAATGCGAGACCGACTGCAAGAAATACCCGAAAGCGTGTATTAATGAGAACTTATACAAAGAACAGGCGGACAGAATGGTTAGCGACGGGTATAAAGAGTTGGGCTATAATTATGTCAATATCGACGACTGTTGGAGCGAAATGGAAAGGGATGCTCAGCAACGACTGGTGCCACACAAACAGCGCTTTCCCAACGGTATCAAAGCGTTGGCCGACTACATGCACTCCAAGGGACTCAAACTGGGTATCTATGGCGATGTCGGGCCAAAGACTTGCGCCGGGTATGCATGGCTTATAGTGTACTGTTTATAGTGAACTAATATAGCATTTTATGGCAGATATCCGGCACAGAACGGGAAGAATGGATCCAATTATTTCTCGATCGACGCCAAGACGTTTGCCGAGTGGGGCGTTGACTCGTTTAAGTTTGACGGCTGTAATGAAGATCCGCATCATTTCGACGACTTGTACCCCAAAATGGGTAAAGCGCTCAACGAATCCGGTATTTATAGACATTTTGCACAATCATATTATAAGTTATGTCTATTTCTTACAAACAGTAATTGCACTATAAAGTTATTTATTTAAATAACCAACAAAGTGATTTACATTTATGTGGGGATGCAAGAGTTACCGATTTAATACAAGTTTAACATTAAACTGTAAATTTTAGCAAAATTATTTATTATAATTGTACTATAACCATAACTGGCATATACTAAAGGGTCCGGGCCCGGAAAACATTTTTTCTATGTACGGCAATACTAATATTTTGACGGTCGATTGGTCGACCCAAATGCCGATCAAAGTGGGCCCGGATGACACGGGCCCACTACTTTTCCGTCATTTTCACGGATTTTTTAAAAATTGTTTTTACTGTAAATTACACCTCCCTTAATTCATTTAAATTAATTTTTAACTAAATTTTATGATAAAAACTTTTCCGTAAAAATGTGAAAAATGACGGAAAAGTAGTGGGCCCGTGTCATCCGGGCCCACTTTGATCGGCATTTGGGTCGACCAATCGACCTTCAAAATCTTGGTATTGCCGTACATAGAAAAAATATTTTCCGGGCCCGGACCCTTTAGTATATGCCACCATAACTTATGGTAAACATTGTACAATTATAATTGGCGAAAGTTTCAACAGCACAACTCAACTTTTGTGTTATAAGATACATTGGGCCTAGTTGTACATAACAATTAAAACTTTAACTTTACAATAATTTAATTTCAAAATATATTTTTATATGCAATCTTAATGAGAAATAGAGTTGAACTATTAATATTATTATTTTTGATGACAACAGGTCGCCCAATAGTGTACATATGCGAGTGGCCATTATACCAATTGCACAAGGGCATTAAGCCTAACTACACATCGATCGCCAACACGTGTCACGTGTATAGAAATCACGGGGACATTGGCGACAGTTGGGCCTCCATCTCATCCATCATTAAATTTTACGGCGAAAACAACGCAGAATTCATTGCACACAACGGTATGCATTATAAACTTAAATAGCACTAATAATTCACATAAACATGTATCAAAATTTTTATTTATCTTATCTCTATAGGACCAGGACACTTCAACGACCCAGGTAATTTAATATAGAATTTATGTATGATACTAATGAATACTAACAATCTATTTAAATGACCATGAACAGACATGTTAATGGTGGGTGACTTTGGTCTGTCCCACGAGCAGAGCCGCACTCATATGGCAATGTGGGCCATGTTTTCGGCACCGCTTTATATGTCCAACGATTTGAGAAGTATTTCCGCCGACGACAAGAAAATAGTGCAAAATAAGGCCATTATTGCCGTAAATCAGGACAAACACGCAATTATGGCTAAACGAGTGTTTGTCGTATGTATTAATTCACCATAATTTATAATTCATAATTTCACAAATATGCTAAATTTATCATAAAGGATAAACACAGACAGGCGTGGGTTAAACAGGTTGAGCCCAAAGTGAAGGACCAGTGGTCGCATGTCGTCGTTTATATCGATGAGAGCGGTATTGGAGATCGTTATTATGTAAGTACGCTCTCTCTCTCTCTCTCTCTCTCTCTCTCTCTCTCTC